TGCAAAGTGTGTATAGTGAATGTAGTGTGATTGTGGTTAATGCAAAATGTGTATAGTGAATGTAGTGTGATTGTGGTTAATGCAAAATGTGTATAGTGAATGTAGTGGGTTTGTAGTGAGTGCAAAATGCGTATAGAGAATGCAGTGGGTTTGTAGTGAACGCAAAGTGTGTATAGTGAATGTAGTGTGATTGTGGCTAATGCAAAATGCGGATAGAGAATGCAGTGGGTTTGTAGTGAGTGCAAAATGTGTATAGTGAATGTAGTGCAGAGTGTGTAGTGCAGAGTGTGTTTAGTTAATGTAGTGTGTGTGTGTGTGTAGTGCAGAGTGTGTGCTTGTAAGGATGCAGTGTGTGTGTAAAATAGGGGGGCGGAAGGATTTTTTTCCATTTATTTGTGTATACTTTTTTTTATTTCCCCCTCTCTGCTTCTTACCTTGCCAGGGAGGGGGGAGATTACCACGTGGAGGGAGCCAACCACGGTACATGGCAGAGGGGGCCGGGCCCCCTGGACCGCCGGGCCCATGACAACCGTTATGGTTGCCATGCCATGATGGCGGCCCTGCTGCCTAATGACTAATCCTGTTCTGCACATTATAACATGTATTTGCTGAGGATAGCTTGAAAGGACACACACAGTCCCAAGCGCACAACTCCAGTCTGGACCTCAAGATGAACCCTGATGAATAACAAGTACAATCATCAAGCCTACAGATTTCAAGCAATATCAGGGACTCCATCTTCTCCCAGGCTACTAAGCCCACGTAAGGTGTGAAATCTAACCTTATATTTGACACTACTCTGCTGAGAAATTACTCAAGGACTTTTTTTGTATTTTGAATTATTATTATTTTGTTTGCCTTTTTCCTTTTAATTTTTGTGGTACCTTTCCTCTGACTAGACAATATATGTCTCATCATAAGTGATCACAAGGCTGTATCTTACTTTAGATAATTTTTTCAATTCCATGGGACTCTAAGCCAGATATAAGGAAACCATTTAGGTCTTTTTATATAATAGCTTTGTCTAAGCTTGTTTCATATCTTTTTATACTGATATCTGCAATTCTTTGCACTCTATATATTTTAATGTATATACTGCAGTGAGTTATTGCACACATATATAGCTGGTTCACAATTCCTGTCCTCTTACAGTATTTATATAGCTATATATTGTTGCTTACTTGCTTGCATTTTAGTATTGACGCATCCATACGCATAACCTTTATATACACCCATTTAATATTTTACAAGTCTACTTAAGACTTCAGGGTTTTGAGCCTGAACTCCATATTCAAAAATAAAAAACTACTTTTTTTGCATGTGACTTCCAAGTGCTGTATTATTTTTCTGGAGGAAATCTCCTGGTGGGTCACCTCAGTACCAGCACCGGTTTCCGAGTATACATGCCAGCACACATATACGTTTTATGTATTGGCTGAGAGTACAGGATATTAAATAACACAGATAATTAGGTTAGGTGCTACCAAAAATTAAGTACTTGGCAAGCAGAACCTGGCTTAAGCAAGATAGCGTAATATTTTTAGCAAAATCCTGCTTTACATCTATTTTAGACCTTAGTTTACACCTAGTTTAGACTTTAGGTGTTTTGTATTTCGTATATGTACTTTATATTTTTATAATCTGATTGTTGGTATATGTTCATTTTAATTAATGGCAGATGAGAATAGAGACTACAAATTTACACGTTTTCAAATATGTGCATTTTGATAAGTGGATTAAAACACACTTTCATAATGATTTGATTGTTGTTAATCCAAAGGTCAGTACTCTCTGCTAATTATTATTGACCTTGCTGCCACTTCTCACTCTGGGAATAATCCAGTTCTTTCTAATCTTGGTCTCTGTGACACTACTGTTTACTGGATCTATGCTTACCTTTTCCAAAGCAGTTACAGTGTATATTTTATTTGGCACATACACACTATGGACAGCGCTACCACATTACTATAGGTACCCTCTTATTAGAAATCTCAGCATTAATTGCACATTACACATAGAAGCATCGTATGCACATTGTATACACAACTAATGTAGCTCTATTATTAAACAGTTATATTAATGTATGTTAAAACCAATATTATTTGAAAATAGATTCCAAATTATATAAAATCTTAAATATGAAAATTAAAAAATACATAAATAAGACTTGAACTCTCCTGCCCCAAAATATCCAGTATCCTCTGTGTGAAGTGGTTGAAAGAATTCTCTATATTGCAGCCAGACTATTTTTGTAGCAATATTAGTGAAAATGTCTTTGAATCTCTTCAGGACCACTTAGGCAAGATGGTTTAAGAAATCTTTGTATAGAAGCAAATCTGTTCAAACATGTTTCACCTGTATATAAAATGATACCTTTCATATATTGCTCCACCATTCACAAACCCTTAAGAACTTTATTTGGAGCATGCCTAAGATTGCGATCTGGACTCTCTTCTCTATTGACTTTACACTGGCTCTCTTGACAAATTACTGATGTCTTTGGGATTCCAGAACAACCTATAAAATGATGACAACAAGATCTATTTTTCCATGATCTATGTCCTAAACTTTTGGATTGTGATGTTATTTCCATTACTTTATCAAGATGATCAACCATATCTTTAAGAATACGTACACATAAAAAATATATTTATTAATCTATTGTATTCCATTAAAGTCCAAATTTTAAGCTGAATAAAAAGATGGGCTCTATGTTAGTAGCTAGATGTTGTGACAAAGAATAAATAAATGCAAAAGGTGTAGTGCAGACACTGATCTTGCGAGAGGACAAATCTATTTGAAGGAGAAAATGAAAATAAAAGATACACAGTAAAGCAATAACATGTGGGATCCTTGTCACAATTTTTTTTTTTATAAAGGTTAATCTATCCGTAATAGTGTGATAATGATATAATTGTTTTTTTTTCTTTTCTAGAGGTTGCAAGACATTATATTACTTTATCTGTACAATATGGTTGTAAAAGCTGCATTCACGTTGGCAACCTCGTTCTATTGAAAGGAAACTGCAGAAAAGATGAGATATCATTATGTCTATTATAACAATTTGTATGAAAGTGCTTTTCACCGGCACGAAATGAATCAGACTCCTGAATTTTACATGTTTTCTTTTACATCAAGCATTTCTATAAAACACCAATTCCGCTCGATATTTTTGGTTTGACATTGGTCTCTGGCCTTATCTCTTTAGTTGGTTTTGATTGTTTATTTTCATTTCTGTTTCATATTTCTTGCGGCTTAAACGTTTCGATGCAAATGGCACACTTTAACAAGATTTTAGATCTTCCCATAATTAAATTTTTTTTCATGTTTTGTTGTAAAAAATGAACAAATAATAAAATAAGACTAAAATAAACAAATAATAAAATAAGATTTTATTATCAATATTAAGGTAAGATAAAGAGTAAAGGCTAAGGGCAAAAATACATTCAGAAAAGGAAAGAAGTGTAAAAGGAGCTTAGACAAGGCCTATCTGCAAGAATTTTCAAGATAAGTGCTACGTACTGATACAGTACACTACTGACCATTTATCAACCTATCGGTTGTTATCTTGTGTTAAATTTCAAGTAGAATTGTCAATGTATATGTGTATCCATCTCACTCTTGCCAGAAACTATTTGTACATATTATGTAAATGATCCCCATCATGCACAAAATACCACAAAGGTTTCATAGGCATTTGTCTTGTTATGAGTTGTACTCTTGGATATATTGAAATGACAATGATTTGTAATGGGTTGATGTTTGTTATTGGTTGATGTGTGTCTTGTGCAGTGTGCCAAATGATGGAGTAGCTGCATGAGTTATGGAGATGTGAGCATTTTAAAATCCAAATTACTTTGTTATTGTTAATGATTGTTCTAATTAAATAAGGTTTGTGAATCTACCTTGGTGGCAGTCCCTTTGATAGTACCTTTATTCATATATAAAGCAATGTCTTTTACTGGGTTCGAACTGTTCCTTATCGGCTTTGCATAATGTGTCAAAGAAGAGGAAATAGATGGAAATACATAGTAGAGTAATTTCCAATTAAACAGGCATTGAGTACATCATGATGTTTACCCGGAATATTTAAGTGTCCCAGTGATACTGCTGACTGGTTACATACTATTTGATAGTCTATATTATATTTTTAAAAACATAGTTTAGAGCAGGGGTGCCCAAAAGGTTGATCCCCCTTTTTTTTTTATTGTTTATTTTTGTGGTGCACGTAATAAACATACGCTCTTGCTATGCCACAACAACATCAACAAGGAGCATAATACACACAGTATGACAGGTTCATGGCATATTCGATTACTGCACACATTTTTAAGTAAAGTTGTAATATAACAGGCTTGTCTAACATATCTGTAGTATAAAGAAAAGCCTCTCAGAGATCCTCTCCTGTCTGGACATGTTGAAAAACACAAGAAATTAAATGGCAATACAGGCTTGTAAAGCAGGATTATGGGGAGTTGAATATTAGAGATCATTTACTAAAGTGTGTCATCCTTTCATGCTAGCTATATGCCTATGCTACTGAATGTTGTACATTACTGGCTGCATTGGATGATGTAGCTAAAAGGAAGAGGGGAGACAAGGGTTAATACAGTCTGTCAGTGGTAATTCTCTCTATCAGTTACCAAGCCTGCCATGCAAATTTTAAGTAAGTAAACTCAGACAGGCATCAGGAACCAGGCTAGTGGTAGTGGTTATCAGGCATGAAAAATGAAAGAGGGAGGAAACGAGTACTTAGCAGTAATAACGCTTGCACATAGGCACTTTGCCAGAGATACACCCTTCAGCTGCAATAGGCTTTGAGGCACAGCTGACCTTACCCTGCAGTAATGAGGCATATTATATATATATTAGAGTCCATGCTGTAGAGGGTATTTGTACTCTGCCGGAGCGTGTTCATCCGACGCCTATAGATGGGGCCTCTGTTGTTCCCGTGTGCCTCGATCTGCCGGGTTGTAGTGGGGGGCAGCTGCTACTCTGCTTTATCTCTTCAGGGTGTATGTCCTGTGTGAGCCCCTGCTGCTGCTTGGTACGATATGGGTGGTGGTTGGGGACCGACGGGTGCGCGGCTCTCCGCTTCTGTGCTCCTTTATATGTTCCTCACTTGTCCGTTGGTCTGTGGGTGGGAGCGGGTTCCTTCTGCTGCGCCGGCTCAGTGCTCTCTGTGGTCGGGGGGCAGTGTGGTGTATTTTACAGGCACCTGGGGTAAGTCCCGTTTGCGTGCTGCCCGCTGTCGGAGGGATGGGAGCCTCCTGCTTCGCTGCTATCTTGGGGCATTCACCTCCGCCGGAGCCGTAGTTGTCCGACATAGGGGCGCAATCAGTTGGGGGAGTGAGTGTGTATGTGGCTGCGCCGGGACGGTATGAAGCCTCCTGTCCTCCAGCTTATGCCAGAACTCATTGAATATTTTGTTGAGCCTGTACTCCAGGTCTGTCTGATCTGCGACTGAGTCAGGATGCCTCATGGCTGCCGTGGTGGGACCGGATCGGCTCTCTGATGCTGGATCATTGCTTGTGTTTGCCCGGATGACCCCCACTGGCAAGGGAGGGGGAGGTGGATATTTTCAGGGAGACCTTCAGTCGGGAAGTCTGTAGCAGTGGAGGGATCGGCCGCCTCCCTTGTGTCGCTTGGTCAGGACCTCCGTAGGCCTCAGGTCGATCCCCTGTGAGAGGCTGTCGCTTGCGGTCGGGTCTCTTATCGCTTGTTGCCTCTTAGGATCCCTTAAGCTGGGACTGTGAAGCGGGCATATTTGAGGGCTTTTTCATGGTTATTTTATCCGCTTGTGGGTTTTTGCCTCGGAGCCCATGTAGTGTGCGACCGCTCTGCATGGCTGCCCCTCTTTTTTTTTTAAACTACAGCTTCCATGATGCTTTGTCATTCTAAAGGTATGCAAAGCATTATAGGAGTTGTAGTTTTACAACATCTGGGGATCTACCTATTTGGTACCCCTTGTTTAGAGAGTCTATGGTACACTGTTAAGTTATTCCTGCACCACTCATATGCATATCTACTCCAACATATAGTGTCTAACACGTAAACTTTAATAACATACGCAACTCATATTAGAGTAAAATTCAAACGTACGCAAGCAAAATGGCACCCTCTAAATACCATCCAATTATTTAGCTAGTCAAGGGGACACTGAAACATAGTCAATGCAATAAGATGTAGTGGTCGTGGTATTTAAATTGTCTCTTTATGGGCAAAATTAGAAAAATATGTACCATTATTCTTCATTGTTTTCTCACTGAATGAAGACATTTATTTTGTTCTGAAACCCTAGAATTATGGTTTCTCAAACACCATTATCACATGACTACATAAAATTGTCAGTGTTTATTTAGTATGTAAATATATTTAGACAAGGATAGTTCGTAAACATCACAAGCAGCCAACAAATGCACTAGATCACTCTGTTGGCATTTAACACTGTTAAAGATGTTTAAGTAAGTAACTGTTGAGTGTTTTATGCTCTGGATGATAAGTGAGGTAACACTATTTTAAACATCCATTAACCAACACCAAATGACAGAAACACCGCTGAGGAAACATATGTTAGCATAACTCAATAGTAAATATCTACAAATGAATTGAGCAAAGCTTTGACGGTCGGAACTTGTAATGGCTGTAGGTTTTAGGAATTATGCCTAAATAATAACTTTAGTATAAAGCAATTTAACCCAGTTAGTAATCCCAAAGCTCTAAGGAATACAGACTTAAGTCAATAAGTTATATTGTGTGTGACAATTGCTTCATTTTTTCTTGTGTTTGGGTGCCGTTACATAGTTACATAGGCTGAAAAGAGACATGCGCCCATCAAGTTCAACCTTCCTCACATCTGTTTTTTTGCTGTTGATCCAAACGAAGGCAAAAAACCCAAGTTTGAAGTGCTTTCCAATTTTGCAACAAACTAGGTAACAATTCCTTCTTGACCCCAGAATGGGAGTCAGATGTCGAAGCAGTTATCTTAATGCCAGATAGAACTGCTGAAGCGAACAGTTTATACATTTACCAACACCTGGAGGCATTCGTTTCCTTATATCTAATTACTGCAAGAGTGGTTTACACTGCACGTCCTCCAATCCACATGCACAAAGACACATATTTAAAGTGATACTGTCAATTGATTCGAGGATCCAATCAAGATTCCAACTTAATGGGAACATTGTGCTTGTAAAATTGATAGAATATATACAGATGAAGATATATTGGCATAGGCTTCTATTAGGTGCCAAAATGAATAGCACTTGCACAATTAATTAATAACCAGAATGGTAACATGCTTGATAGAAAAATTAAAACATTGATTAAATGCTATGTATACATCACAAATCAAGCATATTTCAGTGATTGAGACACAATGTAGACTTAACTATTCCCTCAGTGATATATTAAAGGCTAATGGGAAGGCTACTCTCTACTTGAACTGTTTGAAATGATGGGGAAAATATTACATATGATATTTTCTACGAATCTTTGAGGATGTTTTGACCTATATATGGCGCTTTCTCAAGCCCATTGCATTTTATTATGCTACATTATAAAACTGTATTTATAAAACCAGCTTTAGACACTCAGGCCCAAAAGAGCTAGTGTGCTCCTAATAAACATTACAAAAAACAAATAAAAATACTTTTTTTTTGTGTGTGATGCTGATTTTAGTTTTTCCCAACAAACTCCAGACAAATCCTCCAGAAAGAGGAAGAGCAAGATGTATTAGGAAACACTGAGATGAACATTTCTAAAATACCCTACTGCAATACCTTCTGATATAGGTGAATACAATGTTTGCAGATATGTACAGACACACAAGTTGTCTCTTTCACTTGAAGCACTCATTGCAAGCACCATAACCACTTTATCTTACTGATGAGGTTATGGTGCAAATACTTTGTCACTGCAGCCTTTCTTTTCAATATTTTTTAACTCCAGGGTTAAATGGTTTATTTCTGCTGTAGGACCTCTTGCCTGCCCTTTCAATCAAACAGCTGGACTATTCCCTTCCTGGTTGGCATTATAAATGTTATGCAACTTGCTTCTGGTGTCAACATGCACATCACACACAGCATGTTAACCCTGGACCCCTTGGGCAGATTGGCAAATGACAAACATTGCACAGCTTCTTTCGCCTGTTGTCCTGGCAATTTAGCTCTCTAACTCCCTGATTACGAAAAAACATAAATCCGTTCTGTTTTTTTACCTCTGCTCTTCCTAGGTGAAAAAGTCAGTAGAACAATACAAAAAAAAACATTATTTTGGAAAGCTAAGTAACATCAAATTGAGTGCAAGAAGTAAATTATAGTAAATGCAATTTGTTTGCAGCAATGCATTATTTGCATTAACAATACACATATTTGTACAAAGTATTTTTCTTTAATAAGAACTGTGTACACAAGTGAATCAAATCCACCAGAGGCTCTTATTAATTTTTTTAAAGGGACTCCCATTGGACATGCACTGTGCAGCCACGAACTGGATAAATGCTGCCAAGCTGCATCCTTGGAGGAGGTTGTACAGCTAATACTCCTAGAGCAAATTTATAATTGTGTGTCTCCTGAAATATGGGAATGGGTTCGGGACTACTGATCGCTCACACTAACTTCAATGAAGCAGAGTACATTTATTTGTTACAGAAAAGGAGGTAAGTATTAAGCAAGGTAAGTATTATTAATGGAAAAATCCATCTACCTTTTTCATACACTCTGCTATGTTTTTTCTTATCATTTGTTGTACCAGCTAGTTTGCTTATACCTTAACACTTTCTATAAAAGTTAAGATAAAGCTTATTTAGCTTATATTTGTATATTTGTCTAAATCAATAATTTTCCTATTTTAACTTTTGGTAATTTGTAGTTTGGACTGTACATTTCAAAAGAATTGTTGGCACCTAATAATTAACTGTTAATCGCAAAAATATATATATTTTTAGAACAGATGCAATATAACATCAATATGAGAAAAGGTGCAGACCCTCATTATGTATATAGTTGCATATTTAAAGGAGCATTGTAATTACAAAACAACTTCATCTTAATGACGTGGTCCAAAGACTGTGTCTATTTTTTAGGACATTGGAAATCATTGCTGTTTTAGAGAAGTTAGATTTTAATAATGCAAAATACTGCTAATGCTTCTAATAGAGTAGGATTGGATTCAGGTCTTCGCTGTAAAACGCATTTAATTGGCGAAGCATGGCAATTGTCTCACATGAGCTGGAATTCCCTAATACTTCTCTCTGAGAGGCATTGGATTGGAAAGAGACCATCAGTGATGATGATTTTAGAAGAGGCTGAGTGGCTGCCCAATAGGAGACGGTGCAGATGCTTGTTTCATGGATTTATTTTGTATTTTGTTTTTATTTAGATGAATTGTATAGGCACCATTACCACTTAAAAGCATATAATTGATTATGCTTCCTGGAGTGGGTTTATTGACCTTTCAGCAGAGCAGTTCACAGCCCAGCCTCTAATGATGAAATAGTATAGATGGATCTATGTTCGGCTTTAAGCCATACCAGGGATAGTAAGCAGGGATTGACTAAGAGTGTCAAGTGAGTGCTCTCAACCAATCACTTCCCCAATTGCTAGTATGAATTTATGTGGCGCAAGGTGTAAGCAAAGCTCTACTTCCACTATATCATTAGGGGAGGCTGGGCTAGAGGCCACTGAGTATCAAGAATCCTCATTAAATGGGGAGTAAGATATTTAACAGTAATTCAGGATTCAGCACACCTGGACTCTAGACACCATAACCACTTCAATACATTGAAAAACTTTTAGTGTCTGCAGTATTCCTTTAAAAATATATTTATTTTTAAATAAAAGTGTAAATGACTGTGTACATGTATGGGTATATAACAGTGTGTATGCATGGGGGAATGAACATGTATATGACTGTGCGTGTCTCGGCAAATAACACTTTATAGGACTGTGTACATGTATGGGTAAATTACTATGTGACATTATGCACATTCGAGCAAATGACTGTGCACACATGAATAAATTACAATGTTTGTGACACTCCAATCATAGGAAAATGAACATGTTTATGACTGTATGCATGGCTGTGTAAATGAAAATGTGACTGTTCACACATGATCATATAACAGTGCATGAATGGGTAAATAAACAAGTATATGACTGTGGGCATGTATAGGTAAATGACAGTGTGTGTAACTGTGTGCATCACTAAACAGCATCCTAATTTGGTATCTTCAAATAGGACCATCTCACATAAGAGTACCAATATAAGGTACTATCTACTAACCTGCAGCCTAATTTGGCATCCTTAAATAGGCAGTCCCACATTA